CCTCATTCTGGGAAAAAATATCCTAATCCAGCCATCCTATTGCTGAGATTTGGCCATTTGTAACAAATGTGTTGTGTTGTTCAAATCATCACACTAACACGTGGGTCAGCCATAACGGAACTAACTTTTTTATTGAATGCGCATGTGCAGTACATTGTAATATACAAACCAAAGATACAATAGATCCGGACTACATCACATTCCTCCCTTTCATTTAAGATGTACACATTTTTCAAGATTTTACAGTTATTAATTGGCAATAAAATTGCAGCATAACTTTGAAAGTCACTAAAACGAAAACAATATCATCTAAAGTGATTAGAATGACTAGATGACAAAAATGACTAGAACTAATGAATACACTACAATACTGATAAACAGAAAAGAACCTCTGGTTCTTACTGATTACATGGAGATTATTATGCTCCCAACACTGTGTAATCAGTATAATATTCACAAATTCAGTTTCTTCGGGGCCCGTCTCTCTCTTTGCGGATAGCGTCGAACGTTTGGAGTTGGCACAGACACGGAGGCCGAAGGTTCTTTTGACACCACAGGAGTTTTCGAGACATTTGGTGAGATTGCATCTTTTCCTTTAGGAGTACGAATTGTTGTTGGAACAATCGGCCTGACATGAGGAATTTCAATATTTGGTTCAGAATTGATGTCGCTAGTTCCACAACGAAGCTGATCAGCATGACTTCACCATAGAGTGCCAAGTCCCGTGTCAACTGTGTAAGACAGCGGTCCAGTACGAGAATGTATCTCAGCAGGAATCCAACTGCGTTCTGCGTTCCTGTAATCTCTGGCCATAACCTTTGGTCCTTCTTTGAATTCTCTAACATTAGAGCGTATAGAAAGCTTCATCTGGTCCTGTCCTGACAATACCGTATCGTTCAGGTTTGGTTTAATCATGTTTAGCCTAGTTCGCAAATTTCGTCCCATTAGTAATTTAGCTGGTGTTTCATTTGTTATAGAGTGTGGTGTAGTACGGTATTTGAATAAAAATATGCTCAGCTTTTGCTGCATGGATGCATTGTCTCCCTTTCCACTCTTCATTGACTGTTTGAATACTTGAACAAGTCGCTCTGCTTCCCCATTTGTTCGTGGATGATATGGGGCAGAGGAAATGTGTTAAATGCCATTTTGTGCAAGGAATAACTGGAATTCTTCGGAAATAAACTGGGGTCCGTTATCCGACACTATAACTTTAGGAAGTCCCAGTTGCGAAAATAATATTCTTAACTTCTCAATAGTATTTGATGCTGTTTTAGTCTTCATAGGGAAGATTTCCAACCACTTGGAATGCGCATCCACGATGAGTAGGAACATAGAGTTCATGAAAGGCCCGACAAAGTCTATGTGTAGACGGTCCCAGGGTTCCTTAGGCCAGTCCCAGGGATGTACCGGAGCAGCCTTTGGCATGTTGCTATGTTGCTGGCAACCACTGCAAGTGGAACATAAGTTTTCGATATCTTGATCAATTTTAGGCCACCATACAGATGTACAAACGATCTTGCGATAGACTTCATTTTGACGATCCAAATGTGACCTTCATGCAAATCCTGTAAAACTCTGTCTCTAAGTTTCTCTGGCACAACAACACGATTTCCCCACATCAAGCAATTCTGGTGACAGATAAGCTCCTTAAATCTGTTACTGTATAAACGAAATCTCTCGTCATCTGCAGGTAAGTCATTGTGTCCCTTGGAAACACAGTCCAATACGTGTGATAAGATATTATCTCGTTGAGTTCCAAGTTTGACTTGTGCACTTGTAACTGGTAATTGATCTATTTGAGTATTGTAAAATACTGTTGCCGTGTCCTCATAATTTGATGTTGTCACTGAAAGCGGTAGTCTACTAAGACCATCAGCATTACAATGAGATTTGGTGTTTCTGTATTCTATGTCGTAAGTATGCCCAGCCAGATACAGTGCATACCTCTGCAGTCGTGCAGCTGTCATGGCAGGTATTCCAGCACTGGGGTTCAGGATGCTAACCAATGGCTTGTTGTCTGTGACTAGTGTGAAATGACGTCCATAAAGGTAAGTATGAAATTTAACAACTCCCCGATACAAAGCTAAGGCTTCCTTGTCAATTTGAGAGTATGCTTTTTCAGCCTTGGTAAGTGATCTGGAAGCAACCGCTATTGGTCGTTCGGTACCATCGTCTATTACATGAGAAAGTACACTACCAAGTCCATATGGAGAAGCATCGCAAGCTAGCTTGACCGGTTGGTTTGGGTCATAGTGACAAAGAACTTGCTCTGACGTCATTATTTCCTTAACTTCTGTGAAGGTTTGTTCACACTGTTTTGTCCATTTCCATGTTTTATCTCCCTGCAGAAGCTCATTCAGTGGACCCAGGACTGTTGACAGGTTTGGTAAGAAGGAACGATAGTAATTAACTAAGCCCAGGAATGATCGGAGTTGCTGTAAGTTCTCTGGTCTAGGTGCATTAAGTACAGCATTGACCTTGTCTGGTGACTTCTTCAGTTCCTCCTCTGATATCATATGACCACAGTATGACACTTGTTCTTTAAAGAAGTCGCATTTTTCTAGGTTAGCTCGTAGACCAAACTTTTCTAATTGTTCTAAAACTGCATCAAGATTTGCAAGGTGTTCTTCATCTGTTTTTCCGCTCATGGTCATGTCATCTAAGACGCATGATGTGAATGGTATCCCCTTTAACACTTGGTCCATTGCACGTTGCCAGATAGCTGGGGCAGCAGCTACACCAAACTGTAGGCGTGTGTACTGGTATAAGCCCTTGTGTGTATTAATTGTCATTAGCTCTCTGGAAGACTCATCCACTTCCATCTGGTTGTAGGCTTGTGTCAAGTCTATCTAAGAAAACTTCCTTCCTCCTGCTAGTGAAGCAAATATATCCTGAATTCGAGGTAAAGGATACTGGTCCACCTTCATTACTAGATTTATGGTTACCTTGTAGTCTCCACATAGACGTACTTGACCATTTTTCTTCACTACAGGGACAACAGGTGAGGCCCATTTACTGTGGGTAACTGACTTGATGATGCCCTCCTTCTCCAGGCGCTTGAGTTCTTCCTCGACTTTTGGCTTCAGGGAATAAGGCACGGGTCTAGCCTTACAGAATTTTGGTTGAGCATTATCTTCCAGGTACAGTGTACCTCTAATTCCTTCCAGTCTTCCAATTTCTGACCCAAAAAACAGCTTGATGTCTGTCGAGAATTTTCTTTAATATTGTGTCAGTTTTCTGTGTGGTCTGTCGTAGCTTCAACACTTTCACTTCATGCCAGTTCACTTTAAACTGTGATAGTCCATCACGACCAAAGAGTGCTGGTCCATTCTGTCTGACTACTATTAAGTCCATGTTTCCCTGTTGCTGATTCAATGTCACCGGTACATGCACTGTGCCTAGAGGACTAATATTCTCACCAGTAAAAGTTCTGAGTTTTATTCTGGTCTTCTGAAGTGGTACATCACTGAGATTTTGTTTATAAAAGGCCTCAGGTATGATAGATACAGATGATCCAGTATCTAGCTCCATGTTAATTTGCTGTCCTTTGATCATCAGCTGGAGGATAATTGGGTCAACTTTGTTCATGTTATTAACAGTATGCACATGTAACATAGATTCAAACTAATGTTCATCATGTTCATCATTGTCATTTAAGAAGTTCACTTTTTTTCCAGTCCTTCTCTCTGTGTCCCGTTTTTTTCTTTAAACATGCCCTCTCAATGTGGCCTTTCTTTGAACAGTAACGACAAGTACTGTTTACATGTTTACAGCTTGGTACACTGTACTCACCTCCACATCTCCAACATGGTTTGTGTGAACGTTGTTGTGGTGCTGGCATATGCTTCTGTGTCTGAGGTTTCATAGAAAAACGAGTTTTTGATTTCTGACTACCATTTACCTTGTGAACTGTAGCACTGGTGTCTCTCTGCTCACGAAGCTCTGTTGCATCACGTCCTGCTGTCTCCATTGCATGTGCAATTTTTACTGCAGTATCCAGGGTTAGTGCTGGTTCAGCAAGTAGTTTCTTCTGGACAGATTCACTGTTAATACCACACACGAATCGGTCTATTATAGTGTCATTGAGAGTCTCTCCAAAGTTACAATGAATTCACAATTTTCTGAGTTCCGCCACTTATGAAAGCACAGTTTCACTTGACCGTTGTTCACGTTTGTGAAATCTAAAGCGCTCCGCAATAACAGAAGGCCTGGGGTAAAGATGTCTATTCAAATGTCCAAGAATTTGTTGGTACGTGAGATCTGCAGGTTTAGTAGGTGCAACAATGATCTTTAGTAGTCCGTACGTTTTAGGTCCTATTACTGCTAAGAACGACGGCACTTATGAGTCTTCAGACACCCCGTTAGCTTTAAAGTAAATATCAACACGTTCTGTGTAGACATCCCATGTCTCGATTGATTCGTCGTATGATCCAATCTTACCGATTGATCTGACCTGCAAGCCTATCAGTTGTTGAGCGTTTCCTTCTTCACCCATTTTGTATCAATCTGTATGTTTGCCGACTCTAAACCAGCATCCTTGTCGCCAAAATGTTGTGTTGTTCAAATCATCACACTAACACGTGGGTCAGCCATAACGGAACTAACTTTTTTATTGAATGCGCATGTGCAGTACATTCTAATATACAAACCAAAGATACAATAGATTCGGAATACATCACAAAATGGACTATTCTTGTTATAAAAAAAATAACTTGCATGGTAAGAAATATAAGACTCGGAAAAATCTTTTACCTTCTGTGAACAGAACGCTAGGAGCATGTCACGTGACCGCCTGGATCACTTGATTCGCGCATGGGCAGAACGGTGGCAGATGTGCATTCAAATCGGAGAGGACCACTTTAAAAAAATAAACACTGAAACCTGATTTTATTTCTTCCATAGAAGTAATTAAATTAGTTCGCGAAGTTTTTAATTACTCCTTGTATTTCTTGTATATTAATGTCTGTCACAGGGTCATCGTTAAAGAATATAACGCTGGATTCGGATTTATGAAGTTTTAATGAGGATAACAAAGAAATGAAACCTAGAAATATAGAAAACACACTCACAACACACACACATTAACAAGAGACAAATACAACACATTAAACAAAGTTACAAATTACACAATATGAAAATTCACGTCGCTGCCAATAAAGAAGAAGGTATGGTTTTAGCTTTATTGTGCCCTAAAAATTTAATGTTTTCTAAAAGTTTTGAAACTGGCTTAAATATTAGTTGAGTATATGACTGTAATAAATCAGGAAAGAATATAGCATGACGGAGTACCATTCTGGATACATGACGTCATTAATTTGATGCATTTCTCTATTTTAATCAGAAAAAGCCTCAAAATGACCCATTTCAAGGGTTATTTTTCTTAAGAAAATAGTGTCCACAGCCGTCGCCCACGTTAATTTTTAGATATGTTGTGTAAAATTCTTTGAAAAATCACATATCTCAAAATCTTTGTGGGCGATGCCTGTGGACAATATTATCTGAAAGAAAATTCCATTGAAAATTGGTGTTTTCTGCAACTTTTTAAGAAAATACGGGAAAATGCACAAGTTTATGACGTTACAATTAGCATTTGGAAGGTCATGTGAGAAAAAAAAATTTTTATGATCTTTCTGCATGGAGTTTCAATAATTCAAAAAGCATGAGTTTTAATTTTTTACACCACTTTTATTTTTAAGAAAAACACAGGGCAAGATTTGTATTGAAACCGTACCTTGTTCTTACGTATTATTGAAATTGGTTTAATAAGTATTCACATCATTAGAAATAAATCTTACCAGGTATCCAGTATTATAAAATATGAAACATAATTATCAAGGCATCGTGAAAGTCGATGACTTCAAAAGTAACATGAAAGTTTGGACCTCTTACACCGTAAAGGTAGAAATATAATAGTTATTTGATTTGGCGGGATAAGCGCTTATGTAGTGCACGAAGTTAGTATACATGCATATTAATTATCAAATAGTGGTCTGTCATTGGTCCACTGGTCGTATTAGTATACCTGGTCAGTTTGTAAACTAAAAATATCACGTGAGAAAACAAAACATTCACACATGGCACTCATTCACACAGACGGCGCTATGTTTGATTAGCAATGCGCGCTAATCAAATATAATTTATTAACAAAATATTTAATTAAATATCAACTGTGACATTCTCCCCTGCTAAGGAAAATGACTCCTGACATTTCAAATATATTCATATAAATAACCCTGTAAAAAAACAAATTTTAAATGCAATACTGAGTAAAATAAGTAAGTATATGTACATTAACACAAAGTTTGTGCGACATTCTCCCCTAAATATCTTACACATAGTACACAGGAGTTATCTGATGGCTCACCCATTCACCATACTTGTTTGGTGGTCTCACCTGTTTGGTAGATCTCCTTGGAATTGGTGATGTACTAATATTTACAGAGGGAGAATCTGATACATTACGATTCAATGTCGAGGGATTGTAAGTACTACTGGCGTCAAATGTTGAACTAGTATTATAGGTACCAGTATTGCTCCAATTGTCTGAATGAATGGAACTAAATGGTGTAGACTTACCATTACCTGATCCAGGATTTAACCGTCTCTGTGGTATAATATAAACATTACCACAATCAGATGACCCAGAATCTGAATCTTCTGACTCAGACTCAGAACTAGAATGAATAGATTTACAAATACTAGTATTATTACCGGTATCTACCTTAGGTGGTTTTTCTTGGTTGGGGTTTTCCTGTTTTTGATCAATGTTTTTGGGCACCTTTGGGCAATATCTGCTCTGTTCAGAAAGTTTGGGGATATATGATATGGGCAGTAGCATATTTCTATGCAAGGTCTTAGTTTTCTCTTTCCCATACTCTTTCTTGACCTGAAATACTGGGATGTCAGAATTGGGCTGATTGATAACAATATAGGTATCTCTGGCCCACTTATCTGCCAGTTTTTTTTTTTCCTTTAGTCCAACATTTCTAATGAGAACGCGGTCTCCAACATGAACTGTAGCTTCTCTAACCTTAGAATCATAATGTAATTTATGACGAGAAGCACTTTTCTCAGCTTCACGTGAAGCTATCTTCTAGGAGAACTCTAGACGCTTCTGGAGTTTCTTGGCGTAATTGTCGCGACTGCGAATGTTTTCCGTGTCGGAGTCTAAGCCGAGGTAAGCATCAATAGCTAAACGCGGATGTCTGCCGAACATGAGAAAGAAAGGCGTATATCCGGTACTGTCATGTCTTGTGGCATTATACGCATGCACAAGTGTACTTACATAAGATTTCCAATCTTCTTTTTGCTTGTCCTCCAGTGTACCAAGCATTTTGATCAAAGTCTGGTTGAATCGCTCAACCATCCCATTCCCCATAGGGTGATAGGGAGTGGTTCGCGACTGCTGTACACCTGCTAACTTACATAACTCTCTGATAACATTGCTTGTAAAGTTTCTGCCCTGATCACTGTGTAATCTATTTGGAAATCCATAATGAACTATAAAATTTTCAAATAATATTTTGGCAGTAGTTTTAGCTGTTTGATTTCTTGATGGAAAAGCTTGAGAGTAACGAGTAAAATGATCAGTAATTACTAATATATTTTCAAAGCCACCTTTGCTTTTTTCCAATGATAAATAGTCCATACATACAAGATCTAAAGGTTGGTAACTTTCAATGTTGACAATTTCTGCAGAAATCTTTTCAGGAGTTTTGTACTTCACACATCGGTCACACTTCTTGATTCTGTCTGAGATATCTTGGAACATTCTGGGCCAGAAAAATCTTTCTTTTATGAGCTGGATGGTTCTGTCGCGTCCATGATGACCAAGGTTTGTATGTAAGAGTCTAAAAGCTGTTTCTCTGAAATGACTTGGTAAAACTAGCTGTTTAATATTTTCATTCTCTTCTTTTAGATTTGATCTTGAAAACCCTTGCTCAACAAGTTGAATAACTCTTTTGATATCTCTATCAGATGATTGTTCCTTAACCCAGTCAATGTCTGAGAAAACACATGCATCATCAGAATGACACTCGTTAGCTTCACAAGTAAAGGAATCTGATTTGTCTAAAACGTCTGTATTCATTATTACATTGGTACTTACAGTCATATATGATAATGGATCTTCCTCTCCAGTTAGGAATACATTTTCAAAATATGGGCAACTTTCACGGTCTGCTACGTAAGCACTGCTGATAGACTGGACAACATTGGGATTGACTTCCACCATCTCATTTGGTCGTCTAGACAAACCATCTGCATCAGCATTGTTTGTACCTTTCCTATAGTGGATGGAAAACTGGAAGTTGCCGAGTGCTGCCAACCATCTATGGCCTGTAGCATCGAGTTTCGCTGTGGTCAAAATGTATGTAAGAGGGTTGTTGTCCGTCACCACTTCAAACTTGTTACAATACAAATAGTCATGAAACTTATCGGTAACAGCCCATTTTAAGTAAAGGAATTCCAGCTTGTGTGCTGGGTAATGTCTTCACTGTTCTTTAACCCACGACTCGCATATGCAATAACTCTTTTCTCATCATTCTGGATTTGGTGCAGTACAGCCCCCAAACCATTACATGATGCGTCGGTATGAAGAATGAAAGGCTGGTCAAAGTCGGCATAGGCAAGAATAGGTGGAGACAGCAATTTCTGTTTAATGGTCTCAAACGCCTTGGTCTCTTCATCACCCCATCTCCATGCTGGTGTTTTTGCCTTACTTGACTTACCTTTGTTCGTGGAATGGCCTTTAAGTAGATCATTAAGAGGCTTTACAATTTTTGAATAGTCACGAACATACCTCCTATAATATCCCGAAAATCCTAAAAATGTTCTAAGAGTCTTGATGTTGGTAGGAATCGGCCATGTTGAAATCGCTTTCGTCTTCTCTGGATCTGTTGCTATGCCTCTCTCGCTAACTACATGCCCTAAATAACTTACACTGTTTTTGAAAAATTCACATTTCTAAGCTTTAAGTTTCAGACTGTGTTGTTCAAGTCTTTGGAAAACAGCTGTCAATCTGTCCATGTGTTCCTCAAAAGTCTTTGAAAATATCAGAATGTCATCTAGAAAAACCAACATTTCCTTAAGTTTAATTCACCCATACAACTTTCCATGACACGTTGAAACGTAGCCGGGGCATTCGTCAAACCGAAACCCATTCTATTACATTCAAAAAGACCTACTCCACTTACCGAAAAAGCTGTCTTTTCTCTATCTCTTTCATCAATCTCTACCTGCCAGTATGAACTTGTCAGATCTAACTTGGTAAAGAACTTGGATCCAACTAACCTGTCAATTGTATCATCTATGCGTGGAAGATTGTAAGCATCTTTCACTGTCCTAGAATTCAGTTTCCTGTAATCAATACAGAATCTCAAGGTTCCATCTTTTTTCCTTACCAGTACAATGTTAGAAGAATAAGGGCTCTGTGATGGTCGTATGGCTCCAACATCTAACATTTCCTTGACATGTTGTCTGACTTCTTCGTACATACCTGGTGGAATACGTCGATAAGGTTCCTTAAATGGTTGGTTATCTGTCAGTTTAATCTCATGCTTCAGTAAATCTGTCTTCCCTATGTCAGTGGAACCATCAGAGAATAAATGAGTCCAGTCAGACAGAAACTGTTTTACATGACTTACTTGCATAGTGGTAAGGTTGTCCTCAGAGATTTTAATGTCTAAGTCCTGTAGAGATTTCTTGGATTTCTTACATATACCTGAATTTGACGAATCAGGGTTCCAAGTATCCATGACCTTTACACCATGTACTGCACATAAAAGTGACTTAGGGGGAATATGTACAATGGAAGCAGAGAGGTTACAAACTCTTACAGGGATGGTTACAGTATGCTTACCCTTTGTAAGGGAAATAACACTTGGACAAATTACTAGACCACCAGACAAAGTAGTATTGATTTGCTCAGTCACAGCTGAGTCAATGTTATGAACATTTCTAACAATACCTCGTATTAATTTTGTCTCATTTGGTGCTATCTGGATGGCATACTTGTTTGTAGTTTTCACTGGTGTTTCATCTGTCATTGTGTTGAAAGCTAATTTTCATTCTTCTTGAATATTTTCATCTGCTGTCTGCTCATAAGCATTTCTACAAATACGAATAAAATTAGTTCCAACAATAACAGGGACATTTCTAGAATAATTTGTCTGAGGAACTACAAGTGCTGGAATTGCATATGGTGAGCTACCAAAACAAGGTACACATATTTCCAATTCAACGAAACCACTATATGGTAATGTACCACCATTGGCACTTTGTACAGTTAGTCCAAATTCAGAAATACTATGTAAATCTGGTACTGGGTTTAAACTCTGATGAAAATCTTCTGATATACAAGTAACCATTGAACCTGAATCTATTAGAGCTCTGGTTTTGACACCATTTACAAAAATCTCTGAATCATTGGCTTCACCAATCAGTCTGGACAATAAATTGTTGGTAGTTTGAGGCTTGGTTGTAATAGCAGGGCTTTTCTTGTAGACATCTTCTGTTTGCCTCACAACAGAAGATGATTCTAGTTTAAAGCATTACCTTGACCTGGATTAGAATTACCCATTCTTTGTACATGTTGATAATTCTGTCTTGAACTCTGTTGTTGCTGATGTGATCTCTGGCTTTGTTGTGGAAAGTTTCCTCTGCCTCTTGGATAAATAGAACCTCTGCCCTGAGTCTGAAAAGAAGCTGTTCTATTAAAATTTCTTCCTTGATTTGACTGACTGTTTTGCTCTAACTTGTTCATTCTATTGTCAAGCTTTTTCATTTGTACCAATAATTCTGAAAGTTGTTTTTGCATTTTCTCTATCTCAGAATTTTGAATTGAAAGAGCATCAACATTTGTTGAAATTGTGACACTAGACTTACTGGCTGTGTTTA